CAGTCAAGAACTAGAATTGTATCACATGCAATCAAAAGAAACCATTTATTTTTAACTTCTTTGATATAAAACTCAACTCATAAAAATGACTGTTCGACCATGAGGCTAGTGAAGCTCCATTCCAGTCATTGCCATGATTGACATTTCACAACATCACATGAATTACCAAGAGAAAGGATATGATGGGGAGGGGAGGTACTTGTCAAAGCGTTAAACTATCTACAGGGAAAGAAACCCTTTTTTCCTGGCAACTCAACGATATGTTTTAAATAACATTAAAAAAGGTGCTGTAAGTGAGTTCATTTTAAACAATTTTTGCCTGCTCTGAGTGTGGTTCAGGCGGGCATCCTCGCAGATGTCTTGTGGTGTAAAAGCAGCTCGTTGGTAGGTAGTGACTCTTGTTCCACAAACGCAGTTGTGTGTCGCATTTTGCTTTGGTGCATGGGACCTGGTTATTGTGCCCATGACTGTCTTCTGCATTTGTTTTCCATGCTGGGAAGCCCTGGGTGGTTTCGAGGCCATGTGGCATAGGCTGGCTTGCTTCCATGCCATTCACGTTCCAGGCTGTCGGAGTGACGGATTAAATCCCAACCGCGTATCATCAGGAGCACGTTGTGGTGCTGATGCTCTTCTGGACACCTGTGGGTCTTCACCAGAGGTGTTCTTGCAGATTCAGCCTCTTCCTGTTTTTTTGGTGGCCATTAATGCTAATTAATTAATAAAGGTCTGGATAAGAAGTATACAGTATCATGGAGGGACAGATAACTCAATGTCTCCAAGAGCCCAATGAGACCCTACCAAACCACTGCTCTGGCTGAAAGACCTCTGTGCTGTCCAGTCCTCAGAGCCTCTAAGCTTTTATCGACTTTTCCCATCTTAGAAATAAGAATGTTGCTTCCAGAAAACTGAATTCAGCTGTTGCCTTGAACTGGTTCTGTGCTTTCTGGTGGCTTTCAAGGGAAAGCTTGACTGTTTTTTTTTGCAAGGATACTGAAACTGAAGCTGCTATGATTACAGTAAAACCTGTTGGCCTAAGAAAATCTGCATTAGATGCAATGACAGAGTTTACTAGCTGTTACAGGAGGAGGTAGGGCAGCTCAGGGGCTATGCATACAAGTAGTGAGGGGTAATCCATTTTTCACCCTGGAATTGGCCTAGCATTGCCAACAAGAGATCATTTAGCCCACAGTCTGGGTGAATGCAGAGTACAATGCACTTCTGGTGCACAATTGCCTGTTGGGTGGCACATTGCTCCTATCTTTCTGATTTTCTGTTTAAACAAATGCCTATGTTATGTTTTCATCAGTATTTTCAATAATTAGCTAAGTGTGATTGGAAATTGTAACTGGACATTTTTATCCCAGGCAGCATTCCAGATTCCTTTTATATTTGGCTCCCTTTTGTGCTCATTTCATGCTCCTGCTGATTTCTTTTTTTTTCTACAGCCTCTTGTTAGCAGGAGTCTATTGCATCAAGCAATCTAATCCCCAGTGCTCAGGTGGAACCAAAATTATGCGAAATGTGCTTGCCCATCCCTAGCAGAAATATCGCTCCTTGGAGGAATAAATTATGAGCTAAGTGAAAGCCGAAAGAACAGCTTCCAAGAAGAGTTGGCATCAAACCCTGCATCTCATAATTGGGTTTTGAAACAGGAATGGCTACCAGGGGATGCACGGCATCTGCTGGAGAGCTGTTATCGATGGACTGCGAGTGGGTAGGATGGTGGAATTCCCTTCCCTGCTTCCCTCCCGTTTGCGTGTTGTGGCAACAGGCAATACGGAGCTTTGGACGAAGAGGGCAGCTTGAGAAGGAGGGAGAAAGCCCTCAGAGAAGGAATGCAAGCTGAGAATTAAAGCTAAAAGAAGGATGCATGATATCTCCATGAGAGGCCGCAGAACATCGGTCAATCTGGACTCCCAAGCTCCATTTATTTTCCTTCCAGGTGCCTATTAAGAGAGATTTATCAGAGGCAACAGGGCTGTCCTGGCATGTAAGTTCTTCTCTCTGTTATTGGTCTTATTTTTCTTATTTAGTATGAGCGATGAGAGCTCTTGGTGGCCAAGCACTGAAGAAGTAGAATAGATGACTTTGGGTCTATGATGGGTTTCCAGTGGGATGAGAAAACAGAGGTCTGCAGACAGGGCTTGCGGGCACTGGTAAGCGAGTTGTCTAAATGGCCATGGAAGGCAATTAGGGTCCTTATTGGACAGGTTGGACGTATGTAGCCTCAAACCATTTCAGCATTGGCGGATTGACTGCATCAAACGCATGGACTGCTGTTCTAGCAATTCCTGTTTATATCTCTGCCAAAGGGCCTCAAACTTTCCATCCAGCTAGGAAACATACACGCATACAAACATATACATATATATATATATATGTTTTCTGTTCTGGAATTAAATTGTGCTGATTTTGGCATGAGACCTTTTTTTTCCTTTTTTTTTCTGTTATTTTTCAAAATGGGTGACTTTACACACTATAGTTGACTGTGTTTCCCCCAGATGAAGCCAACACTCTCTCTGTGTTAATTCTACTCCTACTATTAAAATTAATTCTGTTTGTTATCCAAAGGCGTATTGACTAGGTATGTTGGAGCACATCAAGTTGAGATAAAAGGTCTTTCCAATAGGGTGCATGTATAGTATGAGCTTAGGGGTATATCTTTATGTTACAAGAAGAGAGGAAGGGAAGGTGACTACTCTGGGTACTAGAATCACCAGAAGACCCAAGAAAAATTGTTTGGTTTCTTCCCCAAAACAGCGTTCATGAAGATTGGCTTATAGATTTTGCACAATGTGTTGCCATGGACATTTCAGAGCATCTCTGACCTTATCAACACTCAGGTCCAGGGAGTGGCTAGTGGGGGCTAAGGAATTACTGTTTTGGTTGTTGGCAATTTAAGGACCTTTACAGCCAAGTATAAAGCCTTGGTTACATTCAGCAGAGAACAAAAGCAATATTGCCTCTATTCATCCACATCTGGTTACAATACTCATAATGGAATTGTAAGATTCATTCCTGAGAGATGATGATCAGCTCTTCAGGAGATACTTTGGGTTTGTTTCCCACGGTTTTGCTTTATTCAGCTCCCCAATGTACATATAACTTTGGGAACAAGGAAGGCCAGCAAGGAAGTTGCCTATGTGGAAAATCCAATAAGTAGGATGCCTGGGTAAGTTTTTAGGTGTCTTAATTTGAAAGAGAGAGCACCGCTACATCAAACATGCCCCAGCACAGCGGAGGAATGCACAGCAAGTCTGTCTGTAGCCATATCTCTGGGCATGACCACACATGACAGAAATGAGAGTTTACACAGAGTTTATTGCTTTTTTTTTTTTTTAACAGACCGCGTTAAGTACTTGAACATATGAGGATGTACAAGGTGTGAAATGTGATCACCTGCAAAGACCAGAGGAAACTGATACAGCAGCAATCGTGATTGCCTATAAGGCAAGGCTTACGTGACTTCGTATGTTTACCAGGGAACTGAAATGGCCTGAAGAAATGCAGGGAACAGAGTTTGTGACTCCTACATCTACAGGCCTTCACTGATGGTTGCTCTTCTCAGTGGTAAAATTGAGGAACAACACACAGAATAAAAATGAGGAGAGAGAAAAGGGGAGGGGAGACAGGGAGGTTTATTCCCTCATCCTCTGAGACATGTCCACTTTCAAGACCCTTGGTAAACAAGCAGCAGCAGAAGGTCAAACTACAAGAGGCTCCAGCCTCAAACCAGGGACAATATTGGAGAGTATGTGCTTCAAAAAGCCTCTGATGAGAGAAGACTGTGCTAATGTGACCATTCCATGCACTGCCTCCAGGATTTTCACGCCATACAGCTGCGCCTGTGCTCTGTAGATAGGCTTTTCATATGAAGGTGATAGTTACCTTGCCCTGACCTCTGCTTTTATTTCAGGCTCCAGTTAGGGCTGCAATCACTGTCCTAAACATGAATGGGTGTTGGAGGAGCCAAGACTGGTGCTACTTTACCTGTCCTGCAGCCACGTTGCCTTCTGCTCCTTTCACAGTTATATGATGTTGACCATCAGTGACATGTCACCTGCCTATCTTAGCACCAAGCTGGCAGAAGACGGGAGAAGAAAATGCACACGTGGCTTTGCAGGATGCTTTTGGCTGCACCTAGCCTTAATGTGGCGTTCCCTGAGGCTAATGCACTTGCAGTTGATATCCTACCTCATCTTCCTTCTAGAGATTTAACTGTTTCTGCTGAATAAACAGCTTCACCTCCACTGTCTGCATAGTGACCATGCATGGCCATACATGCACACACATGCACACATCTGCCTATGCACGGAGATGGTCGCAAACTTGAGCCAACTGGTGTAGACCAGGATATGGTCCTGTTCACTGTACTAGACTTCACCAGCTGTACTTAAGAGCTACCATTTCCTTTATGTGACCACAGCTTCTGCAGAAGCTGTGACATAGCCACAACCCAGGAGAAAAACAGAGTCTCATTTTCCAGGTATCACAGATCAGGCCTGGTATCAGGCTGGTGGCATTTTCTTGCACACTGTGCTTTTGGCAAATCCAGTAAAGAATCTTGTTCATGGTAGCTGGGACCCTGAAGAACCATGGAAGAACCCATGGATTGAAGATGAGATATTTTCTCAGAGACAGGAAGCCCTTGGATGATGCCAGCCAGTTACCACAATGGTCGTCAAACAGACAGTACCATTGTGTGAAGACTGAAGTGCTGGGATTTTTTGTGGCATCCAAATGCTGTTTTCTCCAGACCGTTTCCAGTGGTTGTTTCTGCAAGCTTTACCAGTCATGAGCCAGCCTGCCATGCACTGCCAGAGAAGGCAACCCATTGCAGCCTTTTTGGAAGTGAAACATGATGTATTTGTTGGAGGAAATACACCGGACCGCATCTTTGCCTTTTTAGTGGCATCATAAAACCGCACAGGCAGGAGAGTCTGGGAAGACACAGATTTGGAGCCAGCTCCCAGAAACGGTCAGAAAAGGAGAAGGGACAGTTAGCTATAGAATACGGGTTTACGAAGCACACGCACCACGTTGTACGTGTTCAGCCCTGGTGCATCAAAACCAGGAGACAAGCCCTTGCGGTCGAACGGATAGAAATTAAAAAGCTGCCCATCCTGAGTCTCCAGTGAGATGGAGGCAGAGCCCAGGTGCAGAACACATGGGAACTCCTTGTCAAAAACAACCTGGAAGACTCGGTCTTCCAAGTGGTGGAGCTTGATTGTCCGGTACTTCTCAGGGATCAGCTCTTCAACGTGAGGCCCAAACTGCTGCATGACCAGCACCCCACCAGGTCCAACTTTGATCTCATAGAAAGTCAGGTTGGAATAGGTGTAGTAGCCAACATAAGGGACTGGGCTTGGAGGAGGAGTCAAGCTTTTCTCTGCCTCCCTGAACGCTGTCTCCATGGCAGGAATGAGATACTCATATGCCTGAGTCACGATGTCCCTCCCTTGTGGCCGAGGCCCTGCCATCAGCACGATGAAGCTGAGACGGAGTTTGGAGATAAGGGAGAACGTAGCCGAATAACCATCAAGGTCTCCATCCTTCCTAATGACGTCGTAGCCCAGTTGCTCATTAATCTCCCAAGGAGTGCCAGTTTTGTTAGCAAAATACTCAGTGGAGCACTTAAACAGAGGGGTCAGCATCGTCTTCACGGTGTCCGGCTCCAGGAGGCGACGGTGATAGGTGCCCAAAAAGACCATTGCCAGCTTGGCGAGGTCGGCAGCCGTGGAGTACATCTGGCCAGAAGGTCTGTACCAGCGTAGAAGCCCACGGCCATCTGCGAGCGGATGGGTGGCGTGATGTCGAAGCCGGTGTCCTCCATGCCCAAGCGGTCCAGGACGTTCTCTGAGACCCAGCGCTGGTATTGCCCCTCCGCCGCGTGGTCGGCCAGCACGTGTGCCATTAGGGAGAAGGCTAAATTGCTGTAATGGCATCTAAAGAAGGAAAGGGATATATTGCATCAGCCTTACGCGTTGTGAGTACAACCGTGTGGAAACACTGGCTGGGGCTCTCTCCTCTGGGGAAAGATGGTCATTTTTCAGATCACAGGCTAAACAGAAAGAAGGGATGAAGGAGGGTTGGAGAAAAAGTAGCAATGCTGTTACCCTGATCTATTGTTAATTGAAGAAAGAATGAGAAATTTCTTATGGGAATAGCAGCAGTTATTTAACCTCTACTCATAGAAAGAGAGACAGAGATAATAAAACTCAAAACAAACAAAAAAAATGCAAAACCTTCACATTTGCATATCCTGACTTACTGCTAATAATTGTTCAACTAAGAGCACGTTCATTCTTTTCAAGAGTGGAGCTGAGAGGTGCAGATGCTTACCTTAAAGGTCTCAAAATCCCAGGTAAGCCTCTTTGGAGATTTAACATGGTACAAACTCTTAAGCACCTAAGCTACTGTAAGATGGTAAAAGCACTTAAAAGGCACTTAAAATCCTGCAAGGCGACATCCAGCAATGTTAAGTTGCTAAAGAAGACGAAGCGCTTGAATCTTTAATATCCATAAAGTGCTTTAAATCTCTACACTTGACTGAAGTTTAATGACTTAAAGATAAGAATGGGCATGTTTTCTTCTCAAAGAAATTTTCAAAATTTGCAATGTTTTCCATCTTGTTTCTTCTTCTGACTTTTGTGAATGCATTGGTTATTTAGATCCCAAATTTGGTCCCATCTGTCCTAGCCCATCTGTTTCCTATTGGCTGAAAATAAGCATGCTGAATGTATATATTTTTACACTAGAATGAATACATATTGGATCTAGAAGTTAGTATCTGAAATGGGGCTGAAGTTCAACATTTCAAGAAAAATATTTTAAAATTTCTGTATTAATGAATGGGAATTTCTTTTAGTAAGAATGAACTGTAAAGCACATCTAGGGACAGGAACACAACATTGGACAGAAATTTATGCAATGTTTCTGTGATCAAGCCATTAATTTCTTTTCAGAAGGAGCTTTCTGGCCTCACAGACTTCAAGTCATGGCAAATTCTCAACAGCCCAAGGCAAATTTGTTCAGGTAAATTCATCTGTTCTCAGCTGAAAAAATGTGGCACCTCCCCAAACCATTAACCCAACCTAAAATAAGAGTACGTGTAGACAGATGACGTGGAGCTCCGCTTAGGAATGACCATTGGTTATGGAAACTCCAAGTGTGGCTAATGTCCACGTAAGAAGGAAATGACCCCAGACCCAAAGCCCACAGATGAGTTCAACTGACCTGGTTCCTGGGTCAGCAACCAATACATCATCTTTCAGGAGAGCAAGAGCATCCTGTGTGTTGCCTTTCCACAGCAGGCTGGTAGATCGCAGCCTCCTGGGCAGACCTGTGCCATGGAGAAGAAAAGTTCAAGTGACTTGAGACAAAACCAACTCAGGAAATGCTGAATCTGGTGAAGAATGAGCAAAAAGCAAGATTCAATGGCAAGGTGGAAATAGCCACCAAAAACTCATATACACATGGCAAAAGAGCTGCAGGAACCAGCTCGTACCAGACTGCAGGTCAAAATGTGTCAGTCACTGGACAAGGAATCTGGGTAACCCCGGCTCCAACAGTGGATTGCTGCATTTTGGTAAAAATGTCTCAACAAACAGAAAAACCACGACCAACTCCAAGCACACTGGAAATGTTGGGGAGATCTCTGTTCTTATTCCACATAATTCCCTGGCCTTTAAGGGTGTGAAACAGCCTGTTCACGGATCTTTGCTCATTATCCCTCTCTCTGTGACTCGAACTTCTCTGACTCATTCCAGGCTAGGCCTCAAAGTATTTTTGACTTTTTTTTTTTCTCAGCATTATCAAAATGTCTCCAGTGTTTGAATGTGGAAATATTAAAGGAATCTCTTTTGACTTTTAATTCCACTACCCCGAAATCTGCTAAAAGCTTCGGGCCAGGACGCTTAAAAATGCCGCAGACTCCTTTCCTGTTTGCTGAGTTACAGGAACACACTGGATTTGTGGCTCACCAAGTGCAGAACTTCGACTATATCAGGAATTAAATCCTCCTTGCAGTTGACAGCTGACTTTGATTTGCAGGTTAGGAGAAAATCATGAAGGATGCATGACAGAAAAACGGCTTGCCATCATCTGCTCAGTGAGCGTGTGCTAAATCTTGGCAAAGCTGAATTAAGCCCTATTCTGTTTGTAGCAGGAGCACATGGTTTTTTTTTTATTTTTTTTCCCAACTGGTCTGACCTTGGGATTTGAACTGGAACCAGAGCATTTTTCTACTTCTGCTCTGTGATTATTTGTGCAGCTTAATGTCCAGTAAGAGACACAGTGAACATCTTCCAATAGACACAGGACTTCTTCATGTCCTGCTTTTCACAGTGCAGCAAAGAAAATGCTGAGCCACCTGGAAAGGTCACCCAGTTCCCTGCCAGCAGTGCGGTGTCTCTCTCGAGGTCCACTGAAAGCCTCCAGAAATGGTAAACCTGAGAGTGTGGGAGCATAACTGAGAGCCCGAGTCACTGATTTGTGCTTCATGGGCTGCTAATTAATGTGACAAGCATGCTGTTAATAACTTACAATAGAAACTCATACTGTCATTCACGCACACATGAAAATCACAAGATTAACAAGGTGGAACTTCGCTCTAGCAGTGCACACATCAAGCTTTGGGCAAAATACTCTTAATTTGGACTGCTTTTTTTTTTCCCCAATATGCAATTAAAAGATAAATATATGGATATATAATAGATAACAGTTTTAATAGTTTAAATGAAAAACTATTTGCAATATCCAGTGCCATGACAGTTATCTTGTTGCTAAGCAGAAACTATTTGCAATATCCAGTGCCATGACACTTGTTGCTAAGCGGAGCCTACTCCTACTCCTTTGAGTCTCTGCATTAGCTTGAGGTGAAGCTCTGCTCTCTCCTGCAGTATTGGACTTTATATTTTGTTTGGAATGGAGGTCCTAATTTGGGGTATTTATTGCGGTTTTGGAAGGGGAGCTAAATCGTTAGTGTGGGTAATGCAGGGTTAGCCAAAATGCACCGGCTCTCAACACACTGCATCTTCGGTCAGCCAATTCTGGAATCTCCAAGTCGAGTATTAACTGCTCTATTTCTGAAAGAGGTTAGAGATCTCCCCAGTCCTGTGATCTCCTTCTACATCAGCACTGGAGTTACCCATTTGCAACAGTAGCAGCCGATTAAGAGTCCTCTGTCAGCAAGCACAGAGCTATTTATAGTGCAGGAATCCCAGATCAGGGACCACACTGACGGTTAAATTTAGCTCAGAAATTGAGGTCTATCTGTTCAGAGCAAAAACGGTTTGGTGCCACTTTGACCCTCATCCCTGCATCTCGGAAAAAGAAGAGCACTCTGGACTGGCTGTTGTGCAAGCTGAGCTTGCTGTCAGGTTGTGCAATGGTTGGAGGAAATCTATATTCTCCCTTCCAGAGGGAAGCAGCTCCCCAGCCCCTCTGGGATGGAAAGGTGCCTGGTGAGGAATTTGCTTTTAGCACCCGATGAAGCTGCTGACAGCAGGTCCCCAAGGATCCTGCCCGAAACCGGGGCAAGTGCAAAGGTGCAGAGCCCGTGTTGGGAATTGGCCATGGCAAAAGCTTTTCTTTTATTCTTTTATTAATAAAAGATAAAATATCTTTTATTTTTCTTTTATTTTTTTAACAGTAAATGCTCTGTTTTCTCCCTGGCCTTTTCCAAAGGGCAGAAAGCAGGCAGGTCTCACCTGAGAGCTGGCTGGCCATTCTGCGCAAGGTGACCGGCGATGGCTTAAGTGGCATTGAGCCTTTCTCCAAAAACACCAGCCCATCTGCTGTGTATCTTTGCTCCGATTCCTTGAGCTTCCCCAGGGGGTTTTTAATGGCAAAGTTCTGGGCATAACGTTCCAAGGGGTCATCCAGTGATGTGACTTTACCTTCCTCCCACAGCTTGTACAACATAATGGTGGGAAAGATCTTGGAGACGCTGGCAATTCTGTTAGGGGACATACCGTAAAAAAATTATTGGACTTTTGACATTAAAACACTATTAAAGTTTTGCATTTCACATTCAGACTGGATATTGGATTGCTTGAGAGCACATTAAGATACAGAGAAGGTCTTCTAGAAGAAAATGTGTGTATTCTTGTATGCAGGGATTGTACCATGATACAGGGGGAAGAAAACAGCCCATTGCAGCTGTGGAAACTTCCCAAAATTGTTTATTCTGAGGGTAACATTTGATAGTCATATTGAAGTCCATATGTTGCAAATTTATCAAGCTTATAAATCACCGAAAACAAGTCTTTAAAGAAAGTAAATACAAAGCAAACATTCCGTTTGTTTTATAGATGCACAGATCAGGGGCTGGCTTGTTTGTAATACACATGCAGGGCTGGATTCTCTCTTCATATAAAAAATAATGGCCAATATGTCCTTGACTTCACTGGGAGAATGAATAAGCCTCTGGGTCTACTTCGCATTCTCAGTATATAGTCCTCTAAATTGCTGTCATTTTGCTAAACTGAACTTTTTTTTTTTATCCTCTGGCACCAAAATACTGTGTCCTCGCTGCTCGCAAAGTCTCTGCTAAGCTCCAGTGCTTCGATTTGTGGCCCAGCCTCTTCAAAACCTGGTGGTTGGCCTATGTGAGGAGCAAGAGGACTGCTCCTCTCGGGTTTTCACTGGTATTCAAATTTAAAATACAATTAAAATCTGATTTTATCAAATCAAATTAAAAGAAAAATCTCAAAACGAACATCTCATTAAGCCATGGGTGACTTTGGGACTAGCTTAGGGACCTGGGGCAGGAGAAAACAGGCTTGTGGCCGCCATCCTGTCCCTAAGGATCGGGTCTCCAACACACGTAATAGTTGTTCCCAGCTCTCCTGACCATGGTACATCTGTCCTACCTGTAGATCGTGTACTCATTGGGCACCACGGAGGAGGGGTCTGAACCGTTCTTCTTCCCAAAGTTGCCTGTCCAGAGCACGGTATCGTTGTAGATAACGATGGCAGACATGGCCGGGAGGCCAGAGTTATGAATCCTTTGGCGCAGCATCAGATCCACCTGGAGAAGGACAGGAAAGGAGGAGTTTCTCAGTGAAGAGTCTTATAATGCAACTCATCTGTAGCATGTAATGCTAGACCCAAGGAATCAGCCCTGTTTACTGCCAAGCCCTTGAGGGTCAGCGTGAGGGTTAGTGATTTTTCAAATGTGTCTTGGCAAAAAGATTGCACTTCAACTCTGGAGGTTCTTTGAAACGCTTTTGCTGAAATATCCATTTTTTCCCCTCTCTTTGGCTCTGTCTACATGTCTGCTGTGTAGCAGACTCTGGTGCTCATCAGTGCAATACCTATGATACTCATGTGATTGAAAACAAATGCTAATGCTCTAATGATTGCAATTTCTTCCATTTTAAACTGTGTTGCAGACATCTGTTCCTTGTACTTTAGGTCCAAAGATGTGCAAGAACAAGGCTTAGGCTTTTTAAATATCTCATGACACTTGTTTTGCCACCGAACATGTTAGACCTGGAGCTTAATGAGCAAACAGCACTACTTGTCCATAGGCTTAGGCAGAACCTGAGGTGATCTGAAAATGCACTTTTTTTTAGGTGCTGGTGCCTAGAATCCCTTCATATATGTATCAGTATGTGTTGTTTGTGCTGGAGAATGCTCACCAGACCTCCTGATCAAGTAATGCAGTTTGTCGTTAAGCTTTGGATCAAATAACTGCTTATTAACTTATTCTCTATGTGCAATGATAGATTTTTTTTTACTTCTACCTCTAGAGTCACTGGTTCTCCACCTCCTCTACACCCTATCTCCTTCACTGGAGATGCTCAGGTGCAAAATACACATCCTACCCTTTACACCTTTAGAACATCACAGTTATGAGCTCTGTCTCCCTTCATTTCTGCCCCGGCTCAGACCTTCTCCAGTGCTTCCTTCAGAATGGGGATGGGATGGTCCAGTGGAACCGGCTCAGGATAGCGAGGACACATCTGCACAGCTTCCGATCTCACCTCCATCACAGAGGGGCCTGGGAAACATGGATGCAGGTTACAGGGATAGACACACTCACAAGCTTCAACCACCTCCAGTGATCAGTGTTGGATGTTTTTTTTGTGTGTGTTTGATGCATTTGCACTGTATATGAGCCACCCTCGCATACACAGAGTCTTTGTGTCTGTCCATTGAGATTGCAGTAATCAACACAAAGGAATTTTAGTGCTAATTTGCTTTCTTCTAAAAGTGAGATCTGGACGCTCAGGACACTGGTACCCTATTTACTCTGTATTTATGTCCTTTGTGTCCTTGCGCTAGCTAACAAGTGGTAGATTCATGTGCTGTAAACCCTTTGGGGAAAAAATGGCCCAAAATGGAAAGGTGTTTATTAGTCTCACAAGCTTCTCCACCAAGCTACGGGCAGGTTCAAAGCTGCTACTTACTGGGCTCCACCTTGGGGAGGCTGTACTGCCAGAGGAAGCAGCCCGTCATAGCCACCGAGAGCAGGAAGAAGAAGATGACCAAGACGTGGATCCACCGCACTTCCATAACAGAGAACCTGAGGAGGCCCCTGCTGCTGGGGGCCTGCTGTGAGCAGAGGAGATAGGATCTCAGAGGAGATAACAGAGCAAGAAACTGCCTCTGATGCACAGCAGCTGGAGCAAGGGGACACACTACATCAGGGAATGCTGGCGGGATGCAACACAAGAGCTGAGCATATGACTGACACCAAGTCGCCATGCCTGGAACCAGGGATGACTTCTCATCTTTTCACGGTTTGCAAGATGTTCTTCTCCCTGCCTTTTTGGTGGGCATAGAAGAATGCCAGTTGTCCAACTGCTGGGAGCTTGCCTTCCCCACAACCTGCAGGCTGGTTTAAAATGGCAGGATTCTTTTGTATAGCTCTCATTTCCTCCCATCTCAGTCATTGGGACTTATTCCTGGATACCCTTTCCAACCTCTTTTCCTAGAGTCCATTATCTGTTCACAAATGCCACCAGCCAGATTGTCTGAGCAGATCCATCTTTAATAGACAAAATGATAGATTTTTTTTTCCCCATGTACTGCCTTTAGCATCCTTTTTTGTCCCTGCAATTCCCATTTTATCATGTGCCATCTGTAAGCTTGGCATTTAGAGAAGTAGCGTTTTGGAAAACCGGCTAATATTCTGGGTTTGTGCAGCTCTCCCCCCTGGACACCATCCAGGTTGGTGATACCACCATGGAAATGCTAAAGAATAACAAGGAACAGATGACAAATGATTAGGTGCCTCAGCGCGAGCTCTGCTCTTTTGCTGACTACAGGGGGTCAGTAGGGTGCTTTTGGAAGTTTGGCAATTAACGTTAGAAAACATATGGCCTGCCATTTGCATCCAATATGGTCCACATTCCAAAGCTGTTCCAGGTTGTCTGGACTCGTTTGTGGTATAGACAGACTAAAATGCTCCCTTTAGATTTCCGCATAGCCCGTTTCTCTGAATTCAGATAGAGGATGGTTCATGTACGAGCCTCTACAGACAACTGAGCCCCGTCACTTAACAACGAGGAGCCCCACAAAGCCCTTCCAGCCTGTTTTCGTGCCTCTTTGGCACCAAATCCGGCTTGGCTGCAGTATACACAATCTTATGCAGTGCCTGAGACAGCAGGGACCCAGATCCGCGCTGGGGAAAGCCCATGTGTTGACATCCGTGGTTAATCACCCACACTCCAGCAGGTTGTGGTTTATGCTGGAGGATGTCTCCAAAGCTGCTTTCCTGCAGCAAGGGGTGGGATGGGATTCTCTTTGCCCTGGAGCTGTCATGGGATGATTTTCTAAAGTTCCCTCATCGTAAGGGAACTCCCCCACCAAACCAGAGCTTCCCAGATGATTTTCTGCCTCTTTCCTTGAGCAACCCTGATTCCAGCTGGCTTCTCCGTCTCACCCACATTCCTCAGTGACTGTCACTGCTAATAACACAAACACAGCACAGCAGAGGGAAGGACATGCCAAGTTCTTGGACACATTCAAATGGATGCACATTCACGCAGGACAATGCACCAAGGCTTCCCACCAGGAGCAATCCCAGTGTGGCTTAACTACACGCTCTCTCTTCTTTCCCCCTGATCTTTGCAATTTAGGAGGAGGAGAAGGAATGGGGATTTCACAGAAACCTCTCTCATCTTCACAGTCTCCCACCCACCTTCCCACGACCACCTCGGTGCTCTAGCACAGATGCTGCCCCATCAATGGCCCCTCTCAGCACAGGTTCGGTTGAATATCCGGAGGGAATATCCCCGTGTGCATACCATCGCCAGAAGCCGTCTCAGTCGCAGAGGCCATGTCCAGGCTGTACCAAATCCGCCCCGGCTGATCCCCAGCCTGGGAGGGATGGAGCCGAGTGCCTTGCCATGTTCCTCAATGCGCCCGCTCCTCACAGGATGCTCCGGCTTTTCCCCTTTAGCTGCTCCCGCCTGGGGTTTCCCTGCCCGCTGCACCCGTCTGTCGTGTTCCCAAAGTGCTGCAGATCTCCCCCCAGGGAAGGGGATTAAGTGACAGGGACAGAGCGGTATTTGCTCTCAGGAAAGTGCCCCGAGAGATTGGATGTTAATTCTCTCTAATGCTTCCCTGTCATGTGTGTGAATCACGGCTTGAAACCATCAGGGCTTCGTGGGCTATTTATAGCGGCTTCATCTCCTCCAGGCATTTGAGCAGGAGGCGATTAACCCCTGAGATGGACCATGTTCCCCGCCAGCCTGGCGAGGGGACACGGAGGAGACATGGAGGAGCTTAAGCAGGAGCTCCGTCATGCTCCAGGCTGCATCCCGAAGAGTCTCCTGGACTTGCCCTGCAGGGATGGACCTAGATGCCCATGGGGCTGGTGTTCTCCCTCTTCTTAGCTGTGTGGAGGGAGAGGGGGAAAGTGGAGGGCTGTGATTTGCACTGGGATCCCTTACCCGCAGCTGCAACCCATCCATGGCTGCTCGGGAGCCTCTTCTCATGGCGCGTGCCAGTGCCCACGAGGGAAAAATGCATAAATCCCTGCAGCGAAGGGGGAGGAAATGTTAGTGCAAGAGGGGAAACGGAGCCAGAGCCAGGAGGGAGCCCAGGCAGAGAGGCAGGGAGGTTTTCTACTAGTGCAGAGCTATGGAGCTCAATCCGGAGCAGTGGGAGCAGCAGGAGAGAGCAGACTTTGGACAGGGAGATAGAGCAGAGCCAAAGGCCAGTGCCCAGCGATGCATTTGCTTTGGCAGCAGCATGTTTCCACATCAGGGGCTGGACCCAGGATGGGTCTCTTGCCAGGATCCATGCTCACCCCGCTCCCCATCCACAAGACCTGGAGCTTGGAGCTCTTCTTCTGACACCCATCACGCCTGCTCAGTGGGAGATGTCCAGCCCTCCTTGCCCCTTCCCCATAGCCAATCCCTAAAAATCGGAGCCATTCTCAGTCTCGGGGATCATGAGGAGAGCCGCCAAACCCTATTTGGATTCGGACAGGCTGGAGCTTGCAGCGCGGCTGGCGTCTCTCAGTAAAACTCCCTCCTGCCTTGTTCCCCAATGGTGGCAATTTCTTATGTTACAAAAAAAAAAAAAAAGAAATATAAAAGCAGCTCTTACCAGCCTAGCTGCTGTGTCCCCCTGGTTCCAGCGCCGAGGAATTTGGGGCTGTCCTGTCGCTGCAGATGTGAAGAGCATCTGAGGCACTAATCCCAACACAGCCTCTCCAGAAGGGATTATTTGTCTGCTCCTCACCCCCTCCTCGAGCAGCGCAACATCTGCCCAGGGATGCAGCTGAAAAGGAAGCATTCCTGGTGAATTCATGGCTCAGGCAATGCAGGAGAGGGTGCTGGGGAGGGGGCTTGCACTTCACGTGTTTTAACCTGGAAATATTCATATTGCAGGCTTAAAAGCACTTTTTTTTTTTTTCAGGCATTGAATGCCCCCAGCAGACCTGTTCTCCATGGCATAAGTAAGTCCCTCCCTGCAACCCGAGCAGGTCCCATCTTAGAGATCCCTCGCCATGAAGCAGCAGATCCTGCCTTTCCTGTTTGTTCCCTTCTCATCAATCTCATCCCTGGTTGTACCTCTGGCTTTGCTGGGAGCGCATGGCCCTGTGCTCTCAGAGCATCTTTCTGGCCCAAGGAGCGGCAAAAAGTGGAAGAAAGATCAATTTTCCAGCCCACTGTCTGACCGTGGCACGTAATGGGCTACACACAACAGGTTCTGCCTTTCCTAAGGCCAGTTGGAGCCAAGTGATGCAAACCCAGGCTTTGAAGGTCAATTCGTGCAATGATTTTGGCCTGGAGACCCCCAGGAACCGGTGGGATAGGGGATGGTTAAACAGACAGCTGTCCAAAGGCTTTTTATGCCTGAGCTGCTGAATTACCCCAAGAGCTTCACTTGGCCCAGACAGGGCTGACGTTGTCCACGGTTTGAGTTATCGCATCTCCTACACCCCCCTGTTTGCCCAGCAGCATCCTGAAGGGACCCAACGCATTTCTATTTTCCCAGAAACTAAATCTCCTCCTTTTTGAGCTCCTTTCTCATCCCCATTTCCCTATTGTCCCACTGTATCTAGACACCACAGCTTTGAGCGTGACAAAGCTGCTCATCAACGCGAGCCGGACTGTTTACTGTATCTGCTCCAGGGGTGATGTCAAGCAACAGAAAGACTACACGTGTGCCCAGGCCCCTGAGCAACCAGGACTCATTGCTTATGGGCATCCTTGCATTTTCCTATCTCAGCAAGCTGCTGGCCTTGGGTAGGACAACAAGAAAGAAGAGTTTTCCTACAGCCAGAGCTCATTTGATGGGTATGGGATGGACACCATAAACCAGGAGAAGGGCATTGGCTAAGGGCTCCTCAAGCCCAAGGATGCAAACACATGGAGAGGGTCTGGATCCAGGGCAGAGTGTCCAAAGAGCAGCAGAACCCCATAAAATGTTGCATCCCTCCCGTACAAGGGTTTTCCCTCGGTCTACAGAGCAATAGTGAAGCCGCCAACCACCCTGTGTCTGCAGGTCACAGTTGGATCCAGCTTTGGCTCCCTTTTTCCCTTTCACACATGTCTCAGAAGTCTGCGGGGAAGCTGGATTTTTTACCGAGCCATTTCAAAGCTCCCTCATTAACTGCTTGCCAGCAGCCCGTGCACTGATAATGGGTATCGCCTCTGGAAATTGCAGCCCCATAGCAACAAGGAGTTTAATGGCTATTATTCCTAAACAGGGGACACGGCTCCAGCAATCCACCTCTTGCCTCTAGCAGTGTCCCTTAGAAATGATGATTTCCTTTCGCAGGTAGCACAGACACAAATGCAGGTTTCACAAGCACACGTAAAGAGGCCTGGCCCAGCTCAGCAAGATGCTTGAATTTTTTAGCGATTTGGAATATTGCTATTTATTTTCGTGGAGTCAAATGAGAAATGTGAAAGTCCTGGAGATGTTGCAAAAAATGGAAAGATGCTTACAAGAAACATCAGGAAACCTGTTTTCAAGGCTAAGACTCATTTTTCCTCTTTTCCAACAGTTTTATTATAGGTGTTTTCCTCTCCATCAGAGGCCATTTACACTCCAAGTTACCACAGGTCTGCTCATACGGTTTCTTT